TAACTAAAATTACAAATGTTTATAAAGAATAAAATGGAAAGTCAAAAATGATGGGGAAATGCAGTGGCCCACGCTACCTAATATCTACCTGTTATTTAGCATTATTCAAAATCCTTCAAAATATATAGGTTTCACTATGTGGGTTAGGCTTGATAATGAGATGGGTCTCTTTTAATATTTCAATACTCGAAATTATCGATATAGATTCGAGTTCTGATGTATCCATAATATTTTTTTTAAAAAAAATATCGTGAGCTGACAATACAAATTATTTTATCAATATCTAGAAAAAATAAAAATATATCACCACGTACATATTTCACGCTTTCTTAATCCACTATAAATATGACACGAAATAACATCCAATAATTGATATCTAGTAAAGCACAATACTCAATTACATACTCAAGCAACGAACCAAAAACTAGAAACCAACGATAAGGAAGTGCTAGATTTAACAAATGCTAAAACCAACGTAAATTCATTCCATTGTTTCCTATGCATCCGTCGGGTCATTTGGTCAAGGTAACAAATTGTAAAAATTAAAAACCTGTAAGAAATTACAGTTTCGGTTAGAAATGCGGGTTATCTACGATTTTGTTTCAAGAATCAAGAATTTGTCGGGACCCATCGATTCGATTCGATTCTAGTTTCGAATAATTTTTAGAAATCGGCCTAGAACCTCCCTTTCCAATTCGAAAGGCTCTATTTCAATGAAAATGTTCATATCTAGTCGTGTACAAATTTTCTTCTTATATTAGTTCATTGCTATTCAAAACCACGAACCCTGTCCCATACACAGTTATATTTGTCCCCAAGGTCAACTTCTCTTCTCTCTCACATACCCACCCACCCACGTACATATACAGTTATCAAGAAAATGCAAGGCAATATAATTTAATGGACACAATCGGTCAACATATTTCTATCATTGATGAAAAGGAGAATAATGCTTTCATTCACCGTTTAATTTTAGGTTGCTTCATCTATAATGCTTTCATTCAACATATTTGGTTTAGATAAAAATCAGATTTTTAATAGATTTTGATAAATTACATATGATTTTCACGTGACTTAAATCAAGAAAAACACAAAAAATGTAAGGGTCTATTCTCTTTACCATTTTCAAATCGTTTTCTGTTTTCGATTTTCCAAAACAGTGAAAACACGTTCTTTTTCCTATTTTCGAAAACTCGTTTTTTAAAACAAGTTAAAAATTTATAAAGAAAACTCAAAAATACAAATTTGTCATTTTGGGTGTTTTTAGTTATAATCAAACCAAAATTTTAAAAAAACATTTTGGGTGTTTTCAAAACAATTTTTAAAAATGACAAAAAAATATATTTTCAAAAATCTCAAAATAAACACTCAAAACACAAAACCTAAAATAAATTCAAAACTCAAAATACCAAAACTGAAATATAAAGAGAACAACCCCTGAGTGTGTTAACATTTTTTCCCTCTAATGTGAAAGTCGCCTGTAAGTTTATCATCACATTTCGTGTCGGGGAAGGTTGAGGTTTTAAATAATCAATTATTTTCTATTAAGCAACACATAATTAATGTCCATTTGTCTTCATTAATGACAAACTCTCCGTGATTGTCTGGTATTAGGTAACATGATTGATGTAAAATTCACACGTTCATAATTTTTGTTATTTTCTAGGAAGCTTCATTGAATTAATTATTTATATATTCATTAAGTTAATAGTTTTAGTTGAAAATTGATTAATAGAAATTAATCGTACTAATGTACGTTCATTAGGACAGCCGTATGGTATACAATTCTCTGATAGACTAATTGATAACTATTAATGCAGATGTCTTAATCTGTACATTCATCAATCATAATCAAACATAGTATTTCCAATAATTATACACGTTAATCAGTGAAAATATCAATTAAATTCTAGTTTCGTACAAGGTATACAGATTTGCTAGGTTGGAAATGAAAGGAAAATACATATAAAACATTTTTTCTCTCTGGGACCAGAGAATATTTAAACTACGGTAGGATGATCGAGAAATATTCGAATTAATTAGAACTAACGAACCGTACAACTAAGACTAGATGGTACAACAAAATATGATAACTTGTGTAATGTAAACTTGGAGCTATGAACAAGAAGAATAGATGTGCCTGCTGCTATTGAAGTGCACATTTTATTTACTTAGGGAGTGTTCGGTAGAAATTAAAATCGGATTAACATTGAAAAATTAGCCGTTATTGTTGACTTTTATTAAATTAGTGGGACTCAATAACGACTATATTTTCAATTTTAATTGACTTTCAATATTTACCAAACGAGCACTTAATTTGTTTAGTTGATGTATTATTTTTTTGATTTGAATATAAAATGATCCAGTCATTATATATTAAATTTTGAACAAAATTTTATTTTATTAGAAGAAAATTGGAAAAATAGATAAATGTACATAAATTTAAGTGGAAGTTGAAGGAAGGTGTTAATTATGGAGGTGGAAGTTTCATTTGTTTATGAAAGGTCATAATTGAGCTAAACTCAATTAGATTTCAATAATTTGTTAACATTCAAATATGATGAAATCCAACCATCAACAAATTTTAATTCCTCTTAATTTCATCCACGTATATGTTATCTGTAAACTTGAACAGTCATGTTAGACAACACAAATCGTAGATTAAGAGGGATATGCTGATTATATCCACTAACTTTGCATTTTAGCCATCCACGATCTTGATCTATTTGAAACTAGCTAGATCACGTGCACTCTAAAGTTCACGTAAGATAATAGAATATATAGGGTGTGGAAGAGAGCACAGATGAAAATATGGGTTCGAGTTGAAGAATGTACTTACAAATAAAGTTTTTTTGTTACCATTATTTGAAAGAGAGATGATTGAGTACTTATGTGCGGAAGTGGTGGGTAGAAGAGAGTCCCTCTAGATGCTTGACACATGTCATCATCCTAATTACTCATTTACCATGTTCAATTGTGTCATTTCATAGCCATCGTATATTGTGATTTTCATAGCTTGAATATTGGCTGAAAAGTTGTGATCTAATTGGGCATTGTTGCTAGACAATTGTCACATAAAGCACTTTGTGCAATGTATTATTTGTGCAACTTGATCGATGTGAGACTTATATAAGATGTCCACACCTTGAATATATATTGCAGAGAAGAGATTATGCATCGACTTGGATATCAATAATATTTTGAGCGAGCCATATAAAGTCATGATCTAATCATCTTGAAAGAAGTATCAGGAAGAGGTAATACGGAGTGAAGTGCTGACTTTAAATCACATTTTGTTTAGTTGGTCAGTACGTGACGTGCCATGTAGATAGAGCCATAACAAAATTATTTCAAGATTCTCGACATTTTCAACTATATAGGTTCATCTCATTCAAGTTCATTAAGGAAATTGTCCAAAAAGAATTTGGAGAGAGAATAAAAAAGACCTCAATAGACAATATTTTAACTTTATTTTATTTTATTTACGAAAATACCATTGATGTCTAAAGAAAGAGTGGAGCTTTAGAAAAAAGTGCCCTTCTAAAAAAATCACCAAGTTTATTTTATTTACCTTATGGATGGAATATAGAATTATATACTTGTATATTTGTTTACTACTCTTTGTTCCCTTGGTTGTGAACCATAAAAAGACAACCCATGAGTGGACAAATTTTGTATTTCATCAATTATAAAAACACAATAAAAAAAATTGAATTTGCATAGTTTTTGTGTGGATGCATTGAAACTCTAACAAGGTGGGATTATTTTTATAAAATCCAGCCCTGGAATTGAATACTTTGAGGAATTAAATAAAGGGATTGAGAAAAGATTAGCAAATAAAGTATTCGATGGTCCAATATCAATACATAATTTTGATATTCTTCACTTTAAGGTAAAATGTGCCCATTTTTTTAACTACTACACCACACTTGTTTTGTAGAATGCATAGTCTTCAAGCAAAGAATGCACGTGCACTTGCGCATGCACATATTTAGGACACAAAACCAATGTAAGTTGTCTTAAAAGAAGTAAAACTAACATATAAAATATGACAATTTAGGTTTTGAGAAATAGCATATCTTTATTCACGCATCAAGATCTTGTCGAAAACTGTCAATTATTATTTATGAGTGATGTAGCTAAATTTGCAGAATGGTGATTAACGGTCCAAAAACTCGTTGATTCACAAAGAAGATCGATAACTTGGACAAATATAGAGAATACCGTTGAACCCTAATTCTAGAATTTAAAGGGGAAAAAAATAAAATCTTGATTTACTATTCCTAAGGAAAAAATTCGGCATTGTTTTTAAAAAACTTTTATTACATTGAAGGAAGGGAAATCTACTTGCATCTCAATCATGCATAATTAAGAACCCTGTATTATTATGAAATTACTAATTTATCCTCTCTTTTTGCTTTTTTTTTTAATTGTAAGTGACAGGACAGCCGAACAGGTAAAAATGGCTGGAATATGAGTGAGGGAAGGGCCTACAACTGGAAACAATATTTCAGTCTAATGAAGAGATTTGTGACTTGCATGCATGCACGATAAGGGACATGTTTGGCATTTTATAATTTATAATCATTAAAAAAATTGGAGAAATATAAATAAAAAATGATGAGAATGGGAATGCAATGAAGAAAAGTCCAAAAAGAACCCATCACTTAGTCACCATCACTGTGTGAGGTCACAGATACAACAGCAAATTTTTCAAACTTCTGTTCCAATACGCCATGGAAACTGAAATAAACGTAACAAACTCAAAACTGTACATGTACAACATTGTTACAAGTTAAAACATCATTTTTATGTATAATAACAAGATTCTTAAGGTTCTAATGGTACATACAATAATTTTAGTAGAAATACAAGCGTAGTTTTACACCGTTTGACGTGGTATCAGAGCCAGAAAATTTGAAAGGTGAATGAATGCGAGCCATCCCTATTTCCCTTCTTGATCTTTGCCAATGAATCCTCCTCTTTTTTTGGTCAAGTTTTCACAAATTCTTGAATGACTCGTTGCCTTCTTTTATGCTCATTTCTACCCCTTCGACTGAACTAAAACCGACATCTTCTGTGATCGTGGAAGCAGTACTGTCCATACCCGAGCCTGCTTGAAATTCTTTGAACTTTGCCATGACTTGAATCATCGTCGGACGCATCCAAGGTCGATCGTCTAAGCAAGCACATGCAAGTTTTAGGTGTTGTAATAACTCAATCTCTAAGATTGGATCCTCTTTTAACAATTCGGTATCAAAAACGTCGCTTGTTCTCAGTTTAGCGTGTTGCTTTACCCAACCAACAAGATTGTTATCGCCAAAATCAGCTGAATCTGTTGGCTGCTTTCCAGTAAGAAGCTCGAGCAATACTACACCGTAGCTGTAGACATCACCTTTCGTCGAACATCTAAAGCTCTGGTAGTATTCAGGAGGGACGTATCCGGGAGTCCCTGCTAATGTGCTGACACTCAAGTGAGTGTCCGTTGCACTCATATGCCTTGCCATGCCAAAATCAGAAACCCTAGCCTCCAAATTTTCGTCGAGCAAAACATTGCTCGACTTCATATCACGATGAAGAATGAGTGGGATGCAATTATGATGAAGGAAAGCCAACCCCCTCGCAGCTCCAATTGCAATTTGCCGCCTTGCTGCCCAATTTAGCTTGATCCCAATTTTCTTCCTGTCGTGCAGAACGTCGTCTAGACTTCCATATTTCATGTACTCATAAACCAAGAGCCGTTCCTCGCCTACCTTGCAATACCCCAACAGGGGAACAAGGTTACGATGCTTAATTTTCCCAATGGTTTCCATTTCAGCAGTGAATTCTCGGTCCCCCTGCCCACTGACATGTATTAATTTCTTTATAGCCACGACACTTCCCTCCTTCAACTGAGCTTTGTACACATCCCCAAATCCACCTGAGCCAATAAGACTATCATTGTGGAAGCCATTAGTCGCTTCAAGAAGATCTGCAAACGTGAGATTCCTGAGAGGCTTTTCGAAAGTTGCAAGGTTAATGCTTAACGCGTCTCGAGCACTAAGTTTCCAATTGCCAGTCGCTGTTGCTGAGTTGGAGTGATTGTCCATATAGGCCTCAAGGGCAGCCTCCTTCTTCTTCCTCTTCCTTTTCCTAATTTCGATGGCAACAATTACAATCCCGAAGATGCAAAACAGGGAAAACAACAACCCCGTTGCCATGCTGCCAGCGAGGGATGCTCGTCTTCTACGAGACTTCTGATGCTGACTACTTCCTACAGCTGCATTAGACCCACATGCCGGAAGAGGGATTCCACAAAGTCCAGAATTATTCGCGAATGTATATTCTGGAAATGTATTGAACTGAGCTGAATCGGGAATTATCCCAGAGAGATTGTTATTCGACATATCGAGCTCTCCCAGAGATGTGAGGCTCCTCATAGACTGTGGAATCGTTCCATTCAACTTATTGTAGGACAAGTCGAGGATTGCAACGCTCTTCAATCCTCCAAGCTCTTGAGGAATAGGTCCGGAGAGATCATTGTGCCCCAAATTAAGTACAGAACAATAATACATAGATCCAAGCTCCTTTGGAATATTTCCTTCCAAATTATTGTAAGAAAGGTCAAGAAATATCATGGAACCATTGTGAATGAATGTCGGCTGAATGGTACCTCTGTAAACTCTGGTGAAATTGCAGGGATGCCTAGTTGAAATCCTGTCCAACTGTTCCTGTCTAATCTCTCCAAACTCGAGCAAATTCCCCGCTCCATGGCACTGTTTGCTTCCATCATTCTTGATGTAAATGTACCTCTTCCCTGTGAGCATTGCCACCGCGATATTGCCAGATTGCTTGAACAGAGCTGGTGGGATGGTCCCATTCAGAAAATTAGTGTTAAGATCCAGCCATAACAAGCTACGGCAGTCACCTAGTTCCCCCGGAATACTACCAGAGAATGAATTGTTTCCGAGCTTCAGAATTGCAAGACTACTCAAAAGACCCAAAGAAGCAGGTATCTCACCACTCAAATGGTTATTTGACAATGAAATCCAGTTCAAATTCGTGCAATTGCTAAGACTAGCAGGGATTGAACCCGTCAGGTCATTGAAATCAAGAATCATATTTTCCAAATTCGACAGGTACATCAACTCTTGTGGGATTTCCCCGCGGAGTTGATTCAACCACATGATCAAATCCTTGAGTTTTGACAAGGACCCCAAGCTGGAGGGAATAGTCCCAGTCAAATAATTAAAGCTAAGATCAAGTGAAACCAACTGCGAACAATTACTTAGACTCTCTGGTATTGGACCCGTGAACAAATTATTCTGAAGGCACAACACTTGCAAGCTGTTCCTAGGGTCTTGGCAGATCCCAGAAGGAATCAAACCAGAAATATTATTGGAGCTCACATCTAAAGTCTCCAAATTTACCAACTTTGAGAAAGAATCGGGCAAAGAACCAATAAAATTATTGGAGGACAACCTCAAAGTCTTCAAATTACTCAATTTCAAGAGTGTATCAATAGGCAACTCACCGGAGAAATTATTGTTGGAGATATCAAGAAGTACCAAAGCAGAGCATGTACCAAGGCTTTCTGGAACAGAACCAGTCAAATTATTGAAGGACAGATCCAACTCCACAATGGTTGAGCATAAATCAGAGAGAAAAGGTGGGAAAAAACCCTGAAATCCATTCTCCTGAAGATAAAGATACTGCATACTCCCACTTGGCAGCTTTGGAACTGTGCCTGTGAGGCGGTTGTTGGTGAGGTTAAGGAAACTAAGCTCTCCACAACTAGAAAGTGAATCCGCAACATCGCCAAAGAATTTATTGGAAGATAAGTCCAGGTGTTGCAATTTCAAGCAGTCATCTATGCGTGGGAATTTGGAGGAAAAATTATTCGTTGAAAGATCCAAATACATCAAATTCTTGAAATTCAACTCAGGCAAACTCCCTGCCACTTTATTGCCCTTCAAAGACAGGTGCTGAAGCTCAGCAAATTCATTCGATAAAAGCCAAGAAACCACGTTTTGACCCGAAATATTATTGTACGATATGTCAAGAACATGTAATGATGATAATCGTGCGGGGAAGCCTCCGGTAGTTTCCTTGACAAAAGGGTCCATGAAATTCCTGGAGAGATTGAGAAACGCCAAACCAGAGCAAACTCCAAGGCTTGAAATATCAGTGACAGGCCCTGAAATGCCATTTTCCGCTAGATCTATCGAATTCAAGAAACCAGTGCACGTTAATCTTGAAATAGAAGTGAGTCCACCACTGAGGTTGGTATTTTTCAGCACAAGGGACTCCAAGTTCTGGATGCCCAACAAAAAATTGGCCACCAAGGAGAAATCCGTATTGAGAGGTGAGCCCGACAGGTCTATAGAGGAGACTCTGTAATTTTTACAGAAGACACCGGTGAAATTGCAAGGGCTGATTGTGGACACCCAGTCGCGAAGTTGAGTGGGGTTGGGGAGTGAATTCTTGAAGGAAATGAGGTGTTGCGAGTCTGTAATGAGACCGTTGGGTGGTGTTGCTGAAGAAATTGGTCGAAAAGAGAGAGAAATGAACAAGAAGCTAATAAACAGTTGATGATAATACAACAACATAATATTATTTGAATTTTGATCAGTTTCCATCTTCAAATTCAGTTTTGGATTTATGAGTTCCATCCTCTCTAGGATTTCAGCTTCATTTGAGAGAGAGAGATGTGGTGTAGACACAGAAAATGGTTTGGACTTTGGCGTTTCCTGAGAGAGAGTAGCGAAAACTGAAAGCAGTCAAAAGAAAGAAAGCCGGGGTGTGGAAGGTAACAATGGTATATATATTGAAGAATTATTTGTTAAGGGTAATTGTTTAGGGAGTGGACACAGCTGTTGGTCACATGGCATGTGACGTGACACATATATATCTCCCTCTCTATATATGTATAGGTAAAACAATCAGTTTGTCTGTTTCTCTCTCTAGGTTTTCCCCGTGCGTGTGAGTGGTATCAAATTCAAAGGATGGACGGATGGATCCATCACTGTCTATTTTAATGGAGATTCCACGCCCTTTCATTAATTAATTGTCTTCATTCATAATTACAAGAATGATAATTAATTAAGATTATTAAAAATTTATGTTTGTGTTCGTTCTTGCCAGGAAGTTCCAATCTTCAGACAGCAGCATGGCTTCTGATTCCTTTCAGTTTCAAGAATTTGAAATTCATTCGTAAATTCTCTGTCGAAATGAAGATTTAGCCCATGTTCGGCGTAATAAAAAAATTAGATTTCTAGTAACTTTTGATAAAAATTGAGGGTCTCGTAAAGCATGTTTATTAATCTTGATTTAATTTTTTATTAAGTGTTTAAGCAATGCCAAACAAGGATTTAGAGAAGAAATGAAAAGAAAAGCTTTTAGGCATCTTAATTGGGACTATAATTTCATGATTATTAACCAAAAAAGTAATTTCATGATTGCTTTCTTTTTCGTTTTCCTTTTTGTTTCGTGGAAGTAATTTCTTTCATGATTGATATATATAATATATTTTTTTTCCAATCTTCCTACTCTAGGAGCATGTTTGGCTATTTTTAAAACTTCCCTATTAAGTAAATTTACTTTTAAGAAATTGTGAGATGAATTATTAATTAATAAATATGTTCATGCTTGGTCCTAATTTTCTAAAACTTATTTTCGAACCCACATTTCATTTGATCCAAAAATTTTATCGACTTTTTAACTACAACTTTTATCATTTTTTATTAAAATTTACTAAAAAAATATTATTTTTATCTAACCGAAACCGGAGCTATGTTCGGAGCTAAAGAGTTAATTAAAAGTAAGTTTATTTAGGTTTAGCCAAACACGGCATAAATCCAAAACCAGAACGGCTGCTCTAACAAATTTGGCAAAATGCATTTCCGCTTTCAACCCGCAGCCCCTGACACGTGTAATCACGCGCTTGTAAATTCAGCTGTTGCAAAGAACGTTGTTAAAATAAGGTGCAGCAGAGCAGGATTGTACTAGTTTACGTACGTGCCCACAGTGTTTAAATCCTGAGCGTTGATGGACCATCTTAAATAGTGACTTGACTGTGTTACTCACACTATCTGTCAGTAAATCTAGCACCAATAGATTCCATTTACCAAAACACCCATACCTCCAAATTACCATTTTACACCAGCCCCTATGCTTGTTTACCACTTGAGCCTCATTTTACCTGAAACTTATATTTTTAAAAATTTATTTTTAATTACACATTTTTTTTAAAATAATTTTACATTTAAATTCAAAAAAATTCTTCATTTTTTAAAGATACATTCTTTAAACATTTATTCCAAAACAAATTCCTCTCAGAAAAAAATGGGGCTCAAACAAAATATATTGTTGTCGAGAGAGAGAAAATGGGAGACGGATATGGCAACTGAAATGGAAAGAAGAAGAGAAAAGAAAGAAACATAAGGAAAAAAGGAAGAGGATGGCATCGAGTGATTGGACTAATACTACATTTTCTAGAGTTTTGATTTGTGAGTTGTATTTTAGATTAAGCCCATGTTTGTTTCACATTATTTAAGTTAGAAAATTAAAATTTGTATCTTTTTTCAAACGAAGTGAGTCCCACCAACACACAAATTGGTCAAATATGACTGTTATTCTACTGTATCAATGGTCCATTTTTTTCTACTAATGTGAAACAAACAGGGGCTAAAGAAAAAAAGTATCACTCCGAGCTCGATCTTCTTTAGGGTCGGCCTAGATCATAGACGGTGTAGGTGATCCTAAGGCCCCGTTTTGATGAAGACCCAAAATTATATAAAGTTAATTGATTGGTTAAAAAATGATAATTATAATTACGAAATTTTTTAAATTAGAATTATCATTGCAAACACAATAAACAAACTAATAAAATTTGAAAATATAAACATGTAAAAAAAAAATCTCATATACGTAAATATATCACAACCATTACTTTCTCTATATATAATTAACTTGACATTTTATCTTTCAAACCATCATTTTTCTTTTTCTTAACAAGAAACAAAGTGTCATTTTTTCTCTTCAAAATTTACAGCCATTACTTTTTCTAATGCTCTCATGGTGGGTCTTACACTTATTCAATGAGTTGTTGCTAAAGGCACCGGTATTCATTTCTCTCTAGATTCTTGGATTTCATTTTCCATTTTTTTTAATATCATTGTATTGATTAATATTTTAATTAAACTAATATTTCTCTATGTGTTATGTAATCTGATTTGGGATTTTTTCGATCCACTTATTATTCCCTTTTTTCCTTTTTTTTCATATTTGTACTAGAGTTTAAATCTTGTATTTTGTCTTCTAATTTTCCTGATTGTGTTTCATTGTTTTTAATTGTATTTATTATTTTCTAAGTCAAAATTAACAACTAATTTGAAGCACACATTTTATCAACTTTTATCAAAATTTGATTTTAATATTTATTAAACATGGACTTAATATTGATAGGGGCTCATATTTGAAGTTGGCATAAGGCCCCCAAAATATCAAGGCCAACCCTGAGCTTCTTGCTCAATTAATTTTCGAAAGGCTGTGCGCTGCACTTGTACTTGGCAACATGTCTAAAAATGTATATTTTTTCGAAAGTAAATTAGATAAAAAATTGTTTTTTTTCAAAATTTAATAAATGTTAACATGTTTTCGACTTTTACGCTCGCATTTGTACTTGGCAACACTGTCTAACTAGGTATATACATAATCATGGTCTCATACGCTAAGAACTATTATTAATTGTTAGCTAGGTCACTGTTTTTGTTGAAATATTCCACACGTTCACAAGCTCATCAGCTTCACCAGCAGCTTGCCCTTCTTCCAGATCCTTCTAATCTCAGCAGATCACATGTTCACCAGCTTATTCTCAAGCTCACCAGTCACCGGCACATGAGTTCACACGGCCTGGACATTTACTTCTTTTAGATTCTTCTTATGTAGTTAGTTTGTTAGATATTTCACTCTATAAATAGAGCATTGTATTCACCTTTACATTTGAGCTTTTGATGAATAATAAGTGTTCTACATATACTATCATCAAGTTCCTTCAATATGAATTTTCGTATTGAATTCTATCTTTACATTTTCTTCCTGCTGGTTCATATTTTCTGCTGATCTGTTATTGCTGGTTTCAATTTCTTAAGAGTTTTCATACGTCAGTTCCAAATATTTTGATCCAAGAATACTTTTCTTCTCCTCATGTTTTTTCTTCAAAAAGAAAGGATGTCCTTCTCCCTATTGGAGAATCAGTAGGTAATCCCCTCAAAATTGATGAACCCACTCTTTGAAGACCCGGCCTAATGATGCTCGTATTTTGGTAGAAGTTGATTTGTACCCTGCTAGATGAACCCACTCTTTGAAGATCTGGCCTAATGTTGCTCGTATTTTGGTAGAAGTTGATTTGGACCCTGCTAGATGAACATGGACAAACGCCCCCACGAATAGGGGCACCATATCGCCTACATGACCATGTTCAAACAGCTTAATCCAGTTGATTTATCTAAACCTAGGTTAGAGGCTGCGGGGATGATGAAGATAGGATTTGAAAGGAAATTGTTTACGAAAAAAAGCCCAGCTACTGTTCCTATTATTTTCATCTTGCCAAGCCAAGAAGTTGAAAATTGCATAATTTTGCATGAGTTAACGTTAAAGGAATTAAAGAAGGCAAGAAATCCTCACCGGCGGCCATTCAAGGAGAAGCAACGTGGATTTTTTGGAAGAATACGGCAAGGGCAGATACGAGAAAACAAAAAATTAAAGGGGTATTTCGGCCAAACTCTAAAGGTTTGACGGCGGATATACATTTGCATGACAAAACCCTAGCTGAGGATAAGGCCAATTCAATCCCACTTGACCCATGACGTGATAAAGAATAAGAAGGGCAATGAAGCTGGAAAATATGAAGATAATGTGCAAAGCCTTTCAACTCAGCTGGGAGTATTATGGTCTAAGTGAGTAAGCATGGGGACATATTGGACAAATCAGTTAATAGTCGGACCTGAAGGTCAGGCGGAAGGTGATTGCAAGGCTTTGTTGGAGCACGTTGACCATAGGCTTAGAGACACTTTGTACAAATTCCTGATCGAGCAATTAAATAAAAAATATTTAAGTAATATGGGATCGTGTAGGAAAGTGCTATTAAAGAAGATATTCCATAGTCCACAATGAAGGCGACGAGAAAAAGCAAGATGAGAGCGGATGCTCCATCTTCCTATCCAAGTACAAATTACGTCGAGGATGGTTTTGGACATGGAGATTCGGACGAAGCAATGGATTTTCCAAAACTTGGATACAATAATATTTGCTTTTATAAAATCTTCTTCAATTAGCGAGCTTAGATGTGATCAGAAAACAAAGAGACACTGCACTCGCCGTATGATGACAAAGAGTATGACTAAGACGAATAAAGTGCAGTTTCATATATTTCTTACATTATACTCCCCGTCCTTGATGGGATGTATTTTTTTGTAGTGTTGTTGTTTCATTTTTGTTATTAAAAAAATATATAGTTAAAAGAAACATAATGTGTAGGCGTCAATAAGAAAAGTAACAAATGTAATCCAAAATAAATATTTAGAATATTTAGAGGCCATATATATTTATTTACTATTTCTCAAGGGTTAAAATGGTAAATAAAATGTTTGTTGAAAGCATATTTAGGGAA